TGAAATACTTCCATGAACGTGTCTCAGCTCACAATCTTATTGTAAGTCAGTTTTCTTTCATTTGATCATTTTTTAAATTTTTGCATTTCCGCAAGTTTTCGTCAGTCACTCAAGACGGACAGTTTGAAACCCGTTATATGATTGGCTGTTTGCTCATTGAGTAAAAAAGACATTTTCAACTAGACTCCAACCATAACGCTTATTGACATGTTGACTATATACTACTAATATACTGAATATTACTGCATTATTACATGAGTAGTTAGTGGTATCTAATATATTATTACATTAGTGCTCGGTGTTTTATGGGTTGGACCACACCCAGGCTTAAAATTAACCTCTAGTGTGATCTTAACCTCTTTTCTTACTGTATCTTGTAAGCTTGAGATGATATCACTGACAGACAGACAGACACACATCTCTTCCTGTGAGTATATGTTCAGGCTGCAGTCCACACTACGATAACACACCCTTTCAAACAAAGTCAAAGCAATGACAGCCATACTGTTGGGAGGAAATTAAAAATGTGTGCAACACAGTAAAATGACCTGCAAAAACATTTGATATTGCAGGGTGACCCGATGGTGTAATGTTTGGGCTCATACCACACAGCCGCATTTAGTGGCAGGTCAACAAAGCGACTCCCAACCGGCCGCGCCGTTTATTGCGTGTTACTCCCCTACTCTCTCACCGTTTCCCGTCTATCCTATTATCAAATCAGCCATAAAAATACCCCGATTTTTTGACAAATATGTGGTTGGGTTGCTTATGTCTTGAATTATTAATGTGTTTGTTATTGTCATATTTCTATAAAAACATATTTTACCACGTTAGATCTCCATAGTGCAGGAGGCTATTTTCCTAATACAACAGCAAAATTAAGAAACCCACAGTTCTCCGCACTGACTATGGAGAATCAAGCAACATGACACACTCACCTTGGAGCAGGAACTTTCTTTTCCCTAAGTGTAGGGATGCTATAAACTCATAGCGGTAAACGTCCTTCAAACAGCAGCTATTTTGTACGGCAATGATGTTTTCAAGGAAACTATTCTGGGATAAAACACTGAGACTCTGATACTTTGGAAAATGAAAATGGCCACATCAAGATTATTGGCATGA